GTGCAGTTTCGTCACTCACATAAGGCAACACTTCCATATGGTAAACAGTTCAAATTTTTAAAACATAAAGTACTTATTTCAATAACAATGTAACAATGCTAAGTATGATGACTGTAACATTAAGTGTTCATTTTAAATTACATTTACCTAAGTGTGTACTTTTTTTGTTATGACTCTTGTAAATGGGAATACATAAGTATATATAGGAATGGAGTGACTGCTGTTGCAATTAAAACATTCATTAAATTTATTCGGCCTAGTTTTAACCTTTTCATTGTACGATTCCCTGTGACATATGTATTTTCACACATGTAATTCATGGGCATTATTATTTACTTTAAGAGGAAATTAGTGAATAAGAAGATAAATGAGAAGAATGGAAATTTTGAGGACAAGTAACTCAGTGGATTGGGCACTAATCTTACTAGAGAACTTGGAATTTTTGACTGAATTTAACACCAACATCACCCATTATCCTGATAAATCAGTTAAATCTCTGAGTTACTTAAGGACTTAAGACTCAACTTAATTGCAAAGCCTATCAAGTGCATTCAAGATCCCATACTACAGTGGTTCCTATCCTTGAAGTTCCCCTCCATGAAATGAGGAAAAAAGTACTCCACACCAGTGATGCATGAATACAAGTCTCAAAAATTACGACATTTAAACATGATAGCAATGTTCTAACAAGCTTCTGGGCCGTTCTTTTACATAAACGCTTCAGTTGTTAAAATGTATCATGTTTCTTGGAAGAAAAGAAAATCATAATATTTATTACTTTTTCCTGGTTTATGAAAAAAAAAAAAAAAAAGATTCTAAGTTAACAATATGCTTTGATTTCAAAACTAAATATACCCACACACACATTTCCTTACTAAGCTATGTTAGCTATTTTACACACATAAGTAAAACCACAGAATTTTAAGAGATGCTTTTAAATGAGTGGGACATACGTTCCTTTTCATCTCTTAGACAACCTAAGAAATTTTTTAATTCAATCAGGTTACTGACATCCTGAACAGGAAAAGTGGGCATCAAGAAACAAACATGTTTTAAGAGTGTCACCTACTGGCAAAATCTATTTCTGTACAGTTTCTTGAGTTCATAGAAAATGCACTTATTTTACCCAGTGCAGTATCTGAAGTTTCATGATCCTAAGCAAGATGCAATTGGTCATGAAAAACAACAGTCACAGTTAAAATTAGCTTTATTAAATTTTTAAAAAAGTGTGTTCGCATTACTTCTGGAGTCTTTTTTTTTTTTTCTAGAACAGTATTAGATGCAGTTGCAATAAAATTGACAAAGAACATAATTAAAAGGCTCATCCAAAAGAATAAATCTAAGTTTAATAGCAGAGGAAGACAAGGGATATGGAACAAAACAAGTAACTCTTCTGCCACCCAGTGAATCCAGTTCATCAGCAGTTCACAGACTATACAGTTTCCCTTTAGTTAATTTGAATTAATTTTAAAATTATCATTTGTGACAGAAAACTCATACTAAGCACTACTCTCAAGCAAATGCATTACTTTTCTGAACAGCTATTTTCCTGCAAAGAACAGTAACAATTTGCCTATCATTATTATCCAAAAGGCTAGAAAGTAGAGCTGAAAGCTTAAGAATATATAATGGGAACATGACCTGCAAATAATCAACCAAGATGAGATCAGGAACTTGAGGGACTGATCAGTGCTCACGTACCTCCCTCATTTCCCCTACTAAAATCAAACCTGTGTTAAAGACGAATTGACGATAGTGTAAATGGTGTGGTCTGCTAAATACAGATAACTGCCGTATCAGAGGGTTGTTTTTCTTTTTCTTCAGAGTATACATTTTTAATTTAAGCCTAAATGAAATTATCTAATAGCAACTTCAAATCTCTCAATCACAGATTATACATCACAGCTTATTAATATTTTCAAATTCTAGGTCTCACTTCTTTTAACTTTTGATCACATATATATTCAGCTTTATTTCTGTAAAGTAATTAATTTTTTTTTTCTGTACAGTATTTTAAAAACAATTTCACCTGTTTTACGTTATTAAGTAATTAACTTCCAGTTTTGGTATGCAGAGACTACTATTTTTTCCAAGGTATTTGAAATCTTAACTCTACAATACTTGCAGTCATTTACACTTGAATATATTTGATATCAATATTCCCCAAAACAAGCAATACAGGGTTATACGGCATTTTGCTCCTATATAAAGTTACTCATGGGTGCTTTTGCAGAACCCAGGCTGAGCAACGTTGTTGTAATGATAGTCAGTAGAAATAGATGAACAGCTAAAATGAAACAGATATTCAGCATTGCAGGCAACTATCTACATTTGCATGTGCAGTTGTGCATTCATTATTGTTCAAAACAGAACAAGTCACAATTGCCTCATCACATGAAAACCTTTTACAATGCTCAAAACTTTTTACTAATGCAGACAATGCTCTGCTATAGTACAATAACTTGTGTTATTTTAACTGAGACACAGTTGCCAGTAATATGATTTCTCATTATTTCAGCCACCTGTTTCCTCTAGAAGCCTAATGCTGAGTTACATGATTACTCGACAATCTCAGTTTTTATTTCTAATAAAAAAAGGTTCAAAGTTCCATAGATGCAGTCAAAAGGAAAGCAAAAGTAGACCAAGATATTTTATATGTACTTTAGAAGAAACTATCAACTTTGCTGAGTATAGTTCTGAGTATTTGAATGCTTAGCAAATTAAGAAGGGGTATAAGTAACCGCATATTTTATGATTGCCCCTGAGTTCCCCTGCCAAACTACATATTTGAACTTCTGTCTTTTTTCCCTTTTTCTTAAAAATAAAGGAAACAGTACTGCCTCACCAGTGCCTTTCTTCTCCCTCTTCAATTGCCAAAGGAGCAGAAATCAAAAGAAAGTACACTGCTTTGGTCTTAAGTTAGCACTCAGTTGAACCACACAGTGGCATCACAAGATATTATCAGTGCTGATACGGTGTTTCCAAGTAACTTTCTTGGATAATGACATCAGTTCGGTAGTTCACAAGTTTCACTAATATGCTTCTCTTCCAACCATTTTTATTGGTTTGTTATTATACAGTGTATCTAAACAGTTTTTAGCACAAGATGGACTCTGCTAAGACAGTTTAGCTGTTATAATTATTGATAGTGCAAATTTCCCCCTTGGAATGATTTACATCTGTTTCTTGTCCAAAACTGAGATGTCAAAGATCAGATTAAGATGCTGAAATATGACTAGTAATAACCAATCTCAGAACCTTAACATAGCTCAGAACAAAAGAACACCCATTATACGCACTGCAAGCATACTGCTTCAATTCTAACACTGCATTAATCTCCTATGACACATACATTCACTCTATTATTTTCTTAATTTTACATCCACCTAATTTTCCTCTTTGACACATATACCTTACTTGCCCTTGAATGCAAACTGCAAATCACTCAGTTAATTACTTGTGGAATAAAATTTTATCCTAGATATACTGTACTAATACACACTACAATTTCTGTAATGGAAGAAACTGCCAGCAGGGCTGCAGCAGACAAGCATCCACGCTCCTGACTTCAGCTAAGGGTGGAGCTCTGCATCAGAGCCAGCTACTATGAACAACCCTTAGAATAATGGAGAGAAGCTGGCAGTTCCAAAGGGTGACTCACCCCCTCCTGATGATCAGACTGCATCCCAAAAAGGTACCTGAGGCGACCAGCTGAAATGCAGTCATCAGAAGTTAAATAAAACTGGCAGTAAAAAGCCCTGAAAACAAAGATGCCACAGAACCAGTCTTCTGTACTATCCTTTCCTTATTGCTTCCCTGAAAACTTACAAGGAGCTTTCAACATCTTCCACATCTTAGAAAATATTACTATTATGAAATTGACCTCTTTAGAGAAAGTGTATGTCTTCAGATACATTCAAGAAGGGTGAAGGAAGAGACCCCTTACGATGGAAAACCCACAAATTTTATGCCAAATGCAAAGTTTATCTTTTGTTCACCTGAGGATATGTCCAAATGCCAAGCAAGTCTCACACTGAAACTCTGAAGGTCTCTAATTTACCTTCAAAAGTTCAGACTAGATTCTCTCTCCTATGCATACAAACACCTTGACAAACAGGTCAAATGCTTTAAAGACCTCCTATTTGCATGTTTCAGACTAAGCAGATGTGGCAAAAATCTATTTTACTTACAAATCCCAACAAAACTCTTTTGAAGGAAACTGATACAGGAACAGTAGGTCACTACGAGCAACCCACTTAATTTATCACTAAAACAGTTGTTTACATCTTAAATCAAGATACTACTTTATTTCTCAGATGCATTTTTCTGTTCTTTTTCGTTTTCTTAAAACCTCTCTCTTACTGATAATTTTTAAGCTTTACTATTACAACAATGTGATACCGTATTCTCCTGAACTAGGAGATACCTGGAAGAACTCCACTCTAAAATTCTACCATTGGCATATGATACAGAGAGCCCTGTCATATACCTACAGCACAGAATTTTTTCTCAAAAGGAGGACTGTGAGATGCATGGGGTAGGAGGGGTGCAATGGTTATTTATACTATTTTTATAAAGGAAAGACAAGAATTTTATTACAGCTTCCCATACAATCCTTATCCTTTTATATATATTTATATTTTGGTAATAGCTTTGTGCTACACTTTCTGGCTTCCCTTTGTATTTTGTTCTCTAGTAAAGCCAACCTAATAATTATCGTCTACTCCCAGCATCAGTCTACAGCCAAGGAAACTATTAGAAAAATTACGAAAATAAAGCTAAGGCTTAGCTTGCCTCTTGCACAGAAGCAAGCAGGTGAAGGCAAGGGACTATTAAAAGAAAGTATCTTTTTAAGCAATAATGAATAGGGACAGCAGACACCTCTTCATGTCCCACCATGTGATAATATAGATAGACCTTAACTTACACAGAGGTAACTCCCTTCTTAAAAAAAGATACATGTTCACAAAACATATGCAGGAAAAAAAATCACTACTTACAACAGGGTTTTTTGTGTCTGGGTCAAATTCTGTAGAATTTGCATCTGAAACAGAAGTTCAAAACAAACACAGTACATTTCCATTGTTCTACGTGCACTACAAACTCATCACAACAGTTCTGTGGCATTTTAGGGCTTGTCTGCATTTAAGCTACAATCTTGTACATTGAAACACATACTGCACCACTTTTGAAGCAACCACAGGAAGCATATGACCTCAGTCACACACACTCCCTTTCCTACTTTCCAAACCCTTTTCCTCTCAGCTCTTGGCAGTAGAAATGCATTGCTAAGCTAAATCTGTTCACACTATTACTGCGATGGCCATGGTTTAGCTATTCTAACTAATGAAAGCAAGTGAGAAGACCACTTCTCACTTTTTACTCCTCACCACCTGCACACTCCAGAAAGAGACTACAGAGGTGAACTGTACAGAATCATAGAATCATTTGGTTGGAAAAGACCTTTAGGATCACTGAGTTCAACCGTACCTGTCTACTACTACACCTTGTCCCTAAGCACCTATATATCTATATAATAGTTCTAATAATAGATACACATTTCACACATAGAATAAAATTTTTTCAAAGCAAATTATATTTACACTAGCATACTGAGCTCACCTTTCCAATTCAAACAGTTTCTTGCAAATTCCACAACCGCTAATTGCATTCCCAGGCAAACTCCTACAAGGGAAAACAAAAACCCCAGAATTTAACAGGACAAAGAGCAGGAGTGACAGAGTACTTGCTGTTCTGTCTTAAACTTGACTGCTTAGAAATCTTGGTGCCCAGTGTATATACACTTAACAAAAAGCTAAAACAAAAAGGGCTGCTCAACATAAAATTCACTCTTCAAACTTGGCACACTCTACATACACCTGACACAGTTATGTGCTTTAACCCCTTTAAAACTATTTTTTCCTCCCATCTATTTTACCAATAAAAAAAAAAAAAGACAAACAGAAGCTGAAAGCCTGTGTACATCCAGATTCAAATCTGCTTTGGCAACTAGTCAAAGTAGTCACTTACAAAATCGTAAGAAATGTGGTGTAGGAACCAAAGCTTCAGAGGCACTTACAGAAACAGCATTTAGCTTATAGGCCAGATGGCATCTTTAGACTTTGCCATAATAAAATATACTGGTAAATAAACAAAAATTATTTAATATAGCAAATTTGTTCAAGGACATCTATGTTTTCTGCACACTGATCAATGTCTATAATGATGCTGATTTAATTACAATGAGAAGCAAAGACTCTTCGCATAAAATGTCAGTATAGCAAATAAAGTCTTTGGAGTAGGTATAGGCTTTTTCTTCCTTCCTTCTACAGTAGATGTAATACATGACTATGACCCTGGGCATTATTTACAAGGCAAGTATAACAGCACACGTACTTCCCTAAGACAGGATCCTTCCCTTGTATGTGTTTGTTGTTTTGGTTTTGTTTTTTAACCAAATCAATTAGCATGCTATCAATTAGCTTGCTATACACCTCCAAAACACAATCATTTCTGACTCTAATGATCTTACCAAGAAAAGGTTTTTTCTTTGTTCTTGCCCAGGAGATAGCTTGGAGTTTGCCTTCTGTTCCCCTAATTCCAAACCCTCCTGGGACCAGAATGCCACTGTAATGACAGCCACATATAAAGCAACCAGCACGTAGAATCAAGCCAGCAAAGGAAGTCCATACAAATTGAAGAGAGACTTTTGAGGTTATAATGAAGCAAGCACTATGCATGAAAGGCATGTTTTGTATGACCATTCAGAATACACAGAATTTAACTCTAATTTTGGAGATTTGTCTCATCTGCCCACCCTAGTTCTCATCTGACCAACCAACGCTTCATAGTGAAATTCCTACTGCTTAAATACGTATTGCTTAAATAAACTAGCTCCATATTCACTACTCTAGAATCTTAACACCAAAACTTTGTCTACAAAGTAATACTGAAGAAATGAATGCATTTTGACAATAAACATCATCCCTTTACAAATACAAATTGAAATTCCATCAATGATTCTTAACAGAGACATTTTCAGAGCGTCACCATGTCACCAGCATTTACTAAGCTTTTATTTAACTACCTTTCACTATGATGCCTATTGACAGAGAAAAATCTTTGACAACTGACCTGCACTGTAAGGAAAGTCTAGCTATCCCCCCCAAAAAAGAATCCCAACCAAACAACTGCAACTTGTCTAAAGAGATTAAAGCAGACTTTGAGGATATAGGTTGATACTACAATTTTCTATGCCTGAAGCTTGTCACCAACCATGCACATCTATCCTTTTATGTAAGTAATGGAAGTCTGGATGCACTGAGAAATTATTTACTGAAGCATTTTTCATCACATGAAATAAGTATCATGGTCTGCATTTAGGATACAGAGTACCCGATGCCACTTACTCTGCTTTGCACAGTTTGTGCCATGCCTGGTGATATTTCACTGAGTTCTCCGCTTCTGTAGAACGTTCAAGTTCTGTTGAATCTATGTACTAAAAGAAAAATATGCAATAAAAGTAATTTATTCCACAGGGAGAGCAGCATACACTATGTAATCAACTTTTTTATAGCACTAAGACAAACTTATTACGAGTTTCAAGTGAATTTCCCAATAAACCCGTAACAACTTCACTGAAGACCCAGTATTTGCTCTAGTTGCAGTAATCCATGCCCCTTTCTTTGCACATAGCTCCAAAGCTCTGCCTGTCTCCAGCCCTCCAAGTAAGCAGACTTGGTAGGATGCTCCACAGTCGTGTACCCAGGTTTTCTTCCTATAGAAATCAGGGCACCAGTCAAAGGCTGGTGCTGACCTTATCCTGCCATTCAAATGAGATGTGGCCTGGGTGTTCACTTTCCTAGTTTTGGGTGACATAGTTTATCAAATCTTATCACAGGAAAGCAGCAACAGCAGAGAGAGAGGCAGACTCATTATCTATGTCCTACTAGAAACACTGCATCAGAATCTCTGCTGCCATTAATAAGCATGACTCCTGAGGTACCAACAGAACAAATGAGTGAAGTAGATGTGTACTGCATTGGGAACACAAAAGATAAGAGTTTGAGTCTTGGTTTTGTCCGTCTTTTTCTCAGAATAACATAATTAATAGCATCCTGCTGTAGAGTCCATCCCCCATAAAAATGAGATCATCAGAAATGACAGAACTCATTTGTGTGTGGAGAAATGAACCACCAAGAAGTTTGCGGAAAGTTTTCCGGATAGGACTGCCTTCTAGCAAACATTTTCTACTTTTTCCACACTCCAGAAGGCATCAAAAATACAACAGAAAAATTACTACTTATGAATGTTGTTATTCCATACTAGTAGGATACTACAGGATAAACTAAAAGGACTCTTTATCATGCTGGGAGGTTGGAAAGATAAACTAATTACAGTTGAAGTTAATTGTGGTTTCCTTGCTAAACATATTGAGCCAGCATATTTATGACTTCAAGCAGCATCAACATTTCATCACTCATGTATATGGATGCTAGATTATGAGCTGGATGCCACGTACAATATTAAGCAGTTCCTCCAGAACATAAAATTATACGGAGAGCCTTTGGACAAAAACACTAAAAAGGAGGTTAGGCACATGCAGGTAAATAGAGTAGGAGCCTTTGTCTGTTAAAATTTCAGCACCACACTGGAACTCCAGCAATCATCAGTTCACGTGCTTGTTAATGCAAAAACTCCACACAAAGCTAACTGCCCGTTTGTGGACTTGGTGCCTTTCACTTTTTTGCTAAAAGCAAAGTTATTTTACATATCATAAAAATTTCCCACTATGCAGCTGCCAGCATAAAACACTATTTACAGTGACAGAATCTTGTAGGTCAGAAAGGGCCTTGGGAGGTCTCTAGCCCAAACTCCTGCTCAAAGCAGGTCAAACGAGAGCAGGTTGCTTAGGGTTGTTTCCAGTCAAGATCTGAAAATCTCCAGGATTAATTCTGGCTGTTCCCACTTTCTTGTTTTTCATGCACACAGAAACAACTTTTTTAAATATTTGCTCCATAATCTTTCCAGGGAGTGAAATGAGGCTGACCAGCTGCCATTTCCCCAGATCCTCCTTTTTGCCTTTTTTGAAGACTGGTGCAATATTTGCCCTTTTCTAGTCATCCAGAACTTCCCCCAATTGCCATCAGCCTTCAAAGCTGATGGGAAAGCATCCTCACAATGTCACCAGCCAGCTCCCTCAGCACTCTGAGATGTATTTTGTCTGGTCCCATGGATTTGTGTTATGTCCAACTGGTCTGAGTATTTCCCAGCTATATAGGTCTGTATATCATGGAAGAAAACGTATCGTGGAGGAAAGCTTATCTGCTTCCTACAAATATATTTGTTTTTTTCCTCCATGATACCTCCTCCCCTTTCCCTTCGAGGGAAAGGAGACAGCTTAAGCCTTAAAACATGAGCTATTTCTTCCCGAAGCTGAGTTTCTGGTGGTTGGGTTTTGGGTTGGTTTTGCTGGTTTTTTTTCTATATTTTCCATGACACCTACCAATTGGCTTCTTATCACAAAACCACATAAAGTTTACTTGAATTCTGCTTATGATTTCAGAGATATGTTTTAGCAGTGAACACTATGCATAAGTTCCTTAATATGTAGAAAAATATTTCCTCTTATTAAACATGAAGTTACTTTTTTTTCTTGAGTGGTTCCCTAGCTGTTTTACATGATGGGTAGCAACCAGTTCGCGGTCTATATACTGTTCAACATTCAGCATACCTTAGAGAGGACAAGAGTAGAAGGACACTAAGATAAGCAGTTTCTGGTTTTTTTTCCATTTCTCTTGATAGGAAGGACCTCTTCCCCCTCCCCAGGAATAAATCAACCCATTTCTTTCAGTAAAGAAGTTCTATAGAAAAAAACAGTTCAGATTTGCTTTCATTTGTGCATCTCTGCATGCCTCCCCTACTTGAAAAGGTTCTGGGATGACATCAGCAATGAGAAGCAGAAGATGAAGGATTTGCAGCTGGCTGATGTGCCTGACAAGCAGCAGAACGATACTGTGAGAAAACAACAGGGTGATTTCAGACCCCACAACAGCACAAACTACACTGAAAAGTACATTCTACATTATCACAAGTGGCTGCAATTACTTCACCATCTAATTAACAGTCCATCAGAGCCCAGCAGTGATGGGAGGGTACAAAACATAATTGGTGATGCTGGTACAGGGCTAGTCACCTTCTCCACCAAGTCACTGAAAAGAAAACACCTCAGGTGATACATTCCTGGTGACCTGTGTTCTCAAGCAAACAGAAGTATGTTACCAGTTTTCTCATATGAGAAATTCCTTCTTTAGTACTCAGTGTTCACGGCTTAGGGAACTTATCATCATCTCCTCAAAAGGTATTGGAAATATCACTGTAAACAGGACTTCATTGCTCTGTGCTTCACTGAAAAAGTACATATGCACCCCTGGTTGTTCTAGGTGGTCCCATTGCTTCTTTCTGGGGTAGGTGGACTGAGACAACAGAACGGTCGCTATGTCTTTGGCCTGCTGCCTTTAGTTACCTGCTAAACCATCCTGGATATTAATGACCTTCCTCATCAAAAAGGGGTTAGTTCCAGTGAGAAACTTTCTAGAGCTGAGGGGGAACAGCCTTGCACAAGCATTATCTAAGCAACCCATGCATGCCTTTTGACACACTGAATTTTTCACTCTAATATCTTCTATTTTTTATATCACAGAAAAGGAAATGATCAAAGGTCACAGGGTTCAGCAATTTTCAGCAGTTACCAAAGTGCATAAACACATGAACTTGCCGCAATCAGAGACAGGCAGAGACCAAAACCTACTACTGAGTGCAGTACAGCCTGCAACTGCCCACTTTGATCAATTTATCTTATATCATTTAATGAATCACTCTAAAGCAGCATGTCATTGCTGATACTTTGTGACCATTTATTATTGTTTTGCTACTGCAAGTTGCTAAAATGTCCTCTGCACCCATTAAATGATAATAATACACACTTCTACACTGCTGCTCTGCCGCAGACTTACCATCCCTAGGAACAAAACTCAGCAATGGAAACTGATAGTTCCACCAGTGAGAAAGGTGGTAACAGTTTTTTCCCATGTAGTTCAACTTTCTATTCTCATTAAAATGAGACAAATTAGATCCCTAAATAGTCCTTTATTCGAGGAACTACTATCTAAACTAAGTTTATGGACCAATTCTGATATCATTAGAATCCTGCTGA